CATGCTTTAAATGAGTCAGGAGACATTGGCTTCATTCAGAATAGGGAACTAACTAGTCCGAGGGTCAAATATGGCGACATACTATAAAGCTTGCTGTCTAATCCGCTAATAGACACGGAATAGATATCCAGTGGGGAAGTACTCAAGTGGGTCGGCCATATTTGACCCTCGGACTAGTTAGTCCCCTATTCTGAACGGGGTCATTGCCTCAGGTTTTGGAACCCAAACTGCAAGCACTTGTCTTCCGGATCTCTAGGTTCCTTTAATAGGTTTTCTTTATTTATTGTCTGCATTCATTTATTTGAGATGATAGTCACACAAGTGGCTCTGCACTCAGTGATCCAGGCTTGTCAGCAGAGCCACTGGTGCGGTGTAAACTTGCCTCTAGATGCCACAGCAACAGTTGGAGTCATTTTGGAGTGGGAAGTGGAACTTGACCTGAAGTTTTTAGAAATTTGTACCCTGTCCACCCTCCTTAAACATACAGTGGATTTTTTCACTGATTTGTGTTGACATGTTATTTTGCCACTACACCTTTGATTAGTTATCAAGAAAGCAGAGGGGAGGGGCCTGGAAATGGCTTTAATTTGTGAACACTGGGAGTGTAACGATGGTGCCTTAATTCTTCCTTAAATAATAAAATTGTACAGACAATATTTTATATGTTATTTACAACTGGAAATGACAGATGTTGAAACTAAAGAGTTGAATGCATTTTGAAGCTTGTTTATATGGCTCTATAATGGGTTAGCATTGAAAAGTTACAGTTGAACAGCATTTTTTTCCATTTTGTAGGAACAAGTAGTCTCCCCCCCCCTCCCTTGCTCTCTCAAAATGTTAGAAATGAAAGAGAATAACTGAGAATTGTTAAATATAGAAATATGGTGCTTGAACTTGTTCTTACCTTTGGTCAGCGTACAGGTTAAATGTGGTCAAATATGCCGAATTTTTAGCCCATATGGAATGTTGACATTCATCTGTTCCCATGATTCTTTCTATATCGCCTTAGTGTAGGTTCTGGGAAAAGGTCAACAAATTTCAGTTTTCATTAGTGGCAAAAGGACTCTAATTGCTTTGTTGAAAAGAGTACTTTTAAGAAATGAAAAATATTAAGATAAAAATTGTAGCCAAGACAATCAAAATAAGCTATAAAGTGTAGAGGATTTGGAAAGTTATTAGTTGTTAGGAACATTCTTAACAGTGCAGAATGAGCAGCTTTTTCTTTTTTTAAGTTAAGACTTAGGAAACAGGGCTGTGCTATTGCGCCTCACCTGCCCATGGTCCAGTAAAGGTTAAGCCAGGTAAACAGTCCAGAGACTGACCACAGCATTAACTGGTCTAGGTATGAGAGGTGCTTGTGTTACAGAAACACCTGAACATCTGTTTTTTATTAAAGACGATATGCTGAATGAAGACCCTTGATTTTAGAAGTGCCTTGAAATTATTAAAACATCAGATTGGAAAGAGAACAGATGTAGTACTGTATTTGGGCTCAATGTAGCACGGCATTCATTTTAGTCAATTAACTGGTAGATTTTAGATAAATAAATTGTTTTGGCTTACATTTTCCTAAGGTTTGGGAGATTATGTATGAATCTATAGCATTTGGTCACAATATACCCAGCAAGCTTGAGCTAAGAGTGTATATGAAGGAAATTTACTTTCAAACTTTCACACTTAAAATTTTGATATTTATTTTCTTTTTTTTTTTAATCTTCAAAAATATGGTGTTTATAAAAACTGCAGTGGTAAAAGTTTGGTTATATAGACTTCGTATAAATTAAAAAAAAAAAATGAAACCACATCTATCAGCCAAACCAGTAAAGGGTCATCTAGTAACACCAGTACAGTTTGACCACAGGTGTGTTGGCCACTGGTATTAAGGAGGGCTATGTTTGGTGGACATAATGGACATGTTTGTCCTGGCTGGCAGTCAGCTTCAGTCAATCAAAACAAGGCAGGAGTTGCAGTCTGGAGTGGATTAAGTTGGTAAAACTACTGGGGTGATTTGTGTAACATGGTGGTACTGTTTGGGATTTGGGCATGGTGGAGGGAGAGAGAGAGAGGAGGGAATAAGAGAGAGAGAGAGAGAGAGAGAGAGGAGAAAAGAGAGTAAGAGAGAGAGGAGGAGAAAGGACTGGAGGGGGGAAGGAGGAAAAGCAACTATTTAGTTTCGTTTTCTTAGAGTGGGTTAGTGATGAATATACGCTACTGTGAGTGCATGCATGTATGCACACACACACACACACACACACACACACACACACACACACACACACATTGCAGCACTTCAGCTATTTCTGCCCTTAAGGAGAGAAGGGGCACCGAAATACTTTCTTTTCTGCTCCTAACAACAGAGATGCTACCTAAAGTATTGATTTCTTTTGTAATGGAATAGATGTTTGTTGTCAGTGTAAGAAGGAAGTTTATGTTTAATAAAACTGTCACACAGCAAGGATGAGTATGAATCACTGTCAAAATAGTTTTTTCTTCTCTTTCTTTTCTTGTCAGCTTTGGGGTATGTTTGTTAAATATTATTGAACAGGTCTGTGACTTGAAAAGTGATTTCACCTCTGAAGATTTGAGTATTTTAAGTTTCTCTTTTTTTTTTAGTCCCCATTCTTGCATTCTTTTACATCCATTTGGGGAGAGGATTTAGAAGTTCTGTTTTCCACATTTCAACAAGGAAATTTTACATGTTGTTTATGTTTGTTCTTGTATCTTATATCATTTCTTCGTTATTTGTCTGGACCATATTTTTCTCCTTTTTGTACTTTATGATCCTGGCTTAATGTGGGGGTAGAATTTTATTTTCAACAAACAGCTGGATAGTAAATAGTTGATGCCGACTTTTGAACTAAAACAAATCATGACACACTAGCTTAAACAGGTTCCCTGAGAGTCAGATTAGAATATATCTGGCACATGGATGAAGTTTTAAACTCTAGAGCGGACTCGGCTGGCATAGCATGTGCAATATTTGACTTGATTCAAACATAGACATTCATACTTATAGAGGAGGAGTTGACAGTCCTCATGCATGACTTTCTTTGCAACATTGTCATTAAAGGGGACATTTTATTCATGAAAAAGAAAATGAGACTTAAAGAAAAAGTCCCACTCAGTTTAATGGAGCAGCTAGGAAATAAATGGACAACGTGACCTTAGTAATGCTTTGCTTTCTTCCCAACCGGTTTTGCTTCCATAGTGTCTCTTATGTCCTCTTATCTTCCATTTAAACCATTGTAGGAAGTGTATTTTCCACTTATCTCAGCTTAACTTATCATAGTTTCTACTTAAAATGTCTGTTTGTTTGAAGGTGACAGTTTGATAAAGGAGTTCCTGCATGTGAGAAGACTATAAAATGGTGGCAAAAAAAGAGCTCCCTCCTTGATGATGTAGATCTTCAACTTTCATGACTTTAATTTAAAGTGAAAAAAAATAAAAATAAAAACAGGCTCTGTATTTCATTAAGAGGATACTACTGGTTTAACTGGGGTCAAAGTAGACCGAAAATGTTGTAGTTAAAGTAAGGACCAACTTTCGTTCCAAAGTTATTTTGTGTAATTGGCCTTAGGTGAGAAAGAGAAAGTCCTCATATGTCTATTGCACTTTGGAAGTTTGTCCTTGCGATTGCATGACCAACAGTGATTGATCCCTAGTCAGATATCACTAAGTGGACACTTAAACATCTGATTAATATCAGTGGTCAGTCTGGTCACCCTGACCACTGTCCCTCTCCATATAACTGACCAGTGCCTCCCCCCCCCCTCTCCCTCACCTGATCTAGAATTATTGGGCCTTAACAGATTAGGGGTCAAAAGGTCAGTCTCAGGTCAGCCATTGGCATAATATCCCCAGGTCACATGACCCGGCAAGCAGACGTCTGCCTGACTGGCGAGATAGTAGCACTAGCTAGCCAGCTGGAGCAGGATACACTCTAGGCTACTTTTTTTCTCGTCTGCTATCCATTTGTCGTCCATTTTGGAGGAAATATCGGAAAAAAAGTTGATTGTTTTTTCACCGAGGGATTATCTTAGCACCTGGTGGGTGATTGGTGAAGTAGTTACAGCCATGGATTTGGAAGAAACCGCGGTGGATTAAGGTATGGGTTAAGGGCAGTGAGGCGTATGAAACAGGTCTTTGTGTGCCGCTTGCATGTGCTTTACAGTATGTCGTTTAATGGCCTTTGAAATGTGGTGGGAACGTTGAATATAGCCCATTCCCTCAGCTTCTATTCAGCCTGCAGTGTATATATATTATTTATACATACACTACCAGCAGTTTTGTCTAATATTTTATGTAGCGGGTAGAGATTTGTTTTATTGAACAGAGCAACCAGCCGTTTCTTTGGCTAGAAGCTGCTGTGTTTAAAGAAGGCAGGGTCAGCCTCGGGTTCCACTGCCTAGCTACACCACCACAGCCCTCATTGTGAGAGAAAATTCACCCCGTCTACCTGGCTCTCCAGACATCTATTATTAATTAACTTTGCTGTTATTCAGAATTAAGTGTGAGGGGTTTGAACAGTGAATATTATCTGAAGGGCTTTATGACGCCCTGCCTGGCGGATTAGCTGGTCTTTCATTGTATTCAGTCATAGAGTTAGGGGATTGTGTACTATATGTGTTATGGTGTTAATGATTCCTTGCGTAGGTATGGCATTCTCGGCTAATTCTTATTACTGTGTCCATTACTTGAGTGTTTTTGTGTTAAGATAAGTCAACAAGGCAGTCTGTTATTTCTTCCTCCTCTGTGCTATATTGTTGGTATTAATGGGTGAGTGGTGTTTTTATTGCCTGTAGGGTTTTGTATCACCTGTATCAAAGAGACTAGTCACTTGTTTCGTAATGTTTAATACTGATTTTAAGTGATGTTTTTGTTACGGGGAAGTCAAGTCACCGCAGACGGCTGCTCCGTCGTCCGTGCTATACAGGTTATAACGGTGGCGTGGCCAGGTATACAAGCCTCACCTCAGTCTAAATATTAAGTCAATTGCAATCTATTTATTGGCTGCACGGCTGTGTGTTTGTTCTGTGTTTGTCCTGGTAGGGAGGCTATTGTGTGGCGTCGTCATTGGCCGGGTCACGAAGAGAGATTAATGTTGATTTAGTGAGGCAAAGGGGATTTAGAGACAGAGGGGTAGATAACTGGTGTTAATATGAATGGAGGATATAGCAAGGTGCTGACCTGTTTGGGTTTTATTAGAGAGATGTGGAAAAGTTTGTGACGAGAAGATTTTGAGTGGCTAAAACTCTGAGGCCATAAGACTACTGAACATCACATGCTAGGCATTGTGGCCTGGTGACCTATTTGGATTTTATGAGAGACTCGTGAAAAAAGCTGATGTTTCTTTCTTAAAGACCTTCAGGCTAAGCTGCGTATAGCCGACTTCGTGGTAGACATTTTATATTGTGGTAATTTCAGGAACGGATGGGCGGCTTATTGAAATTTAATTGGAAAGCCTATGGGGATACGAATGGGTGAGTGATGCTAGCTTTAACTGTGGGAAAATGTTGTGGATGGGAAGATAATGTAACAACAGAACGGGTTATCGGACTATTGCTAATAGTCTAATAAATTTAATTTTATTGAAGAGACGATGGGAATAGTGCTGTTTTTTAGTGTAGGCCAACATGGCCGTTGATAAGACCACAGCTCTGGATAATTTAAGCTGTAGAGAATTACTGCAGTGACTTTGCATGCTCCTGACCTATTTGTTGAGAAAAGAAAGATGTATTTTCAGTGTTTAATAGTAGCCACAAGGCAGCTGTTTAGAATTACAATGGGAGGTGCTGTAATTTTGATTATTTATGAAGAACTTTAGACTTAAGTTAAATACATTGAGGCATGCATTTAGGCGTTGTTGTTGTAGTATTTGGTGATAAGGCAAATGAGGTGAGAGGTGTTACCTCTCTCTCTTTCTCTCTCTCTCTCTCTCTCTCTCTCTCTCTCTCTCTCTCTGTTACATCCGCGTGCTTGCACGCACATTCACAGCAACCTCTATCTCCTTCTCTCTCACCTTCCCTTTTCCCCCTTATCCTCCTCTCTTAGACATCTGCTCTATATGGCGTTTTTACTCATACTGTTTGCTCTACAAAACAAATGTTTCTTTTTGCCCACTCTGCAGGGGATGCCTTCTTACAATAAAATTCTTGGAAACGTAGTTATTAATCTCTTGATGTAATCAGGCAAAGGAGAAGAGAGAGAGAGAGAGAGAGAGAGGGAAAAAAACTACAGAAACACGCCATTCAATTCTTAGAACAGCAGGTCATTGGTACATATATTGGGCCTCTGGATAAGATAAGAAACATGGGTCAGTCTTTAGCCTTTAGGCACGTAGGCAGGGCAGGAGGGGGGAAAGAAACTTATTTGGCAAAGTTAAAGGTCACTCAGTTTGTGGTGGATGACCCTCCACTGATGCTTACAAGGACAGGGAGGAAATTTGGGGTGACTCAAAATTTCACAGCCAGGTCAAAAACCTGAGAGATCAGTTGTTGAGGTTTGGACAAGGTTATATTAATTAAGCTATGTTCCTAAGTATTAATATTGAAAATTGATGCAGAAGAGTCAAAAGTGGTGATTTTTTTTTTCTTTTCATGGATTTTAGCCATTACCGATTCCCTTGATCACTGGCGCGTGATGTTGGTGACGTAATGTTGTAATGATAGCTGGAAAAGCTTTGTTTCCTGTCTGATGGATGTATGGTCTGTCGTGATTTAGCTGAAATATCTGCTTTGTATGAATTGATGTGGCTTGCTTTATGATTATTGAAGTTTTCCCTTTTTTGAAAAAAGTAAGGCAAAGTAGTTATTTTTTTTTCAAATACTAGTAATAGTATTATTTTCTTTATCTTAGATCAAGTTCAAATTTTTTTTTTTCTTTTCTTTCTCTTTTTCAAGAAAGGATTGAAAAGGCACCAGCAGTTAAACCCGTTGAACAGGTTTTGAAGTGTCTTTGGAGGAAAAAAAGTAATAAACAGGAAGTTTGTTTGAACCCTACTTCTAAATGTGCCACAAATAACAAGAAGTTTGTGCCACGTATAAGATAAAAGCTTCCTATAACTTAACATTGTATGGCCCCTTAAACGCTTTCTTGTTAATGTTTGATGAATAATTCAGAAATGTTTTGTCGTTAACATGAAAAGAAGACTTTCTCTGTTGGATTCATTTGGGGACATTAACACAAAATGGACACCCAATATGAAACTGAAACCCAAATGAAAAGAACATTGTAATCTCTGTTTATTTCGTAGGGGGAAATTTACGCAAAATGGACATGGCATGAATGGCGAAATCAACATGCTAAGAGTATTTTGTAATGTCAGCACACACTGGCTTTTCCTTCCTCAGGCAGTGGTAATATGTTTGCTGCTGCCTTTGTGACAAAAGCGAGAGAAAATATTAGCTGGCACAACAGTGAGGTGCCCCTTCTGCCCCCTGGGGGAGATCACCCACCGAGAAGAAGCATGACTCAGAACGAAGCGTTTGATTATGAGTTCTAGGTCAGTGTGTATGTCTATATGATTGCAGAGCAGATAGAAAGATGGGGGGATGAATGAATGAAATTAAATTAAATGACATTTTTTAAAAAAGGGGGTGGATGATGTATAGATTAGGGAAACAAAATGTGTCATATTTTGTCATAGTTCGACAGACAGACAGACAGACAGACAGATATAGACATTGACAGGCGGACACATGTGACAGTTGGAAAATGATTGTGACAGAAATAGTTTTAAAAAAATTCGGAGAACAAATACCTCTGATATTGATAACACTGAAGTGTTCAGGAATGTTAGGTTCATGGGAATTTACTCTGCTGGCTAAACATAATATAGATATGTTTTATTTGACAGAATATAAAATATTTACATTTGCACCAGGAAGTTATCTGTGAGAGTTGATATTTTCAGATCGTCAGTATAATGGACACAAATGGCGAACAAGGTAAAAAATACCCCTAAAAAGTACCTACCCATTTTCTTAAGTAAATGCTATGTATTTTCACAGATGTGAGTAATTTCACGAGCCATAGTAAAAAGTAGAGAGAAATTATGAACTTAAAGAAGGAATTTGGATAAGCACTTGTAGTCTGATTTTATTTCTTAGATAACATGTCTCTTAAGAAATGAAGTATAGCTAGAGGTTAGTAAATGTTTTGTAATTTTTTTCATGAAGAAGGATCTGCTTTTGTATTTTTTTTTCTAGAATTATAAAAAATATCAGAAAATGATGGTGGATCCACAGTAAGGGCACATGAAAAATTGGACAAAGTTATTTTTCTTTTACTCCAGTGCCTTGTGATGTAATGCTGTCAAAGGGGGAATTTGATTGCATTACACCTTGCTGAGGTTGGGTCAGGTCATGTGGTATTTTGTTTCTCAACTTCTGACTGGCTGCAATCAACATTTTCTATGTTATCTTTGGAGAGCCAGAGTAAAAAATGTTTTTTGAGGAATTGACCATAGACACATTTTAATTGACTTTGAGGCAGCAAGGCTACTGATCAAAAAAATTCGAAATACTAAGAAAAAACAAGGAATGAATGTTAGTGGAAGCTGGTTTGTGGAGTGAAATGAAGCCATATTTTAGTGGATTATGTGTCAGCGGTTCTGCACTTTTTACGAAGTAATTCCATGTTGTGTCAGCCAAGTCTGCAAAGAGTCATATGACACAGCAAAGCATGCCAAATAGATAAATGTTATTCCGTTTTGACAACAATCAAAAGAACATTTGTGTGGTTCGAGGTCTGGCGCCCCGCGATAAGAAGTAAGTTACTGTTATAAGTCTTGTTGCTGTTGTAATGGTACTTGTACTTTTGCTTGTAATGATTTTATCAATTTGTATCATTTTTGAAATCATACTTACAACAGTGCACTATTCAACTTCTTATTTTTTTTATTTTTATTATCATATTTTAGGGTAGAGGAGATTTTATGGAAAACCTATAATTACTGAAGAATGCTCTATCTGTCTCTCTGTCTCTATCTCTGTCTCTCTCTCTCTCTTTCACTCACACACACACACACACACACACACTGTCAAACAAAGTGACCAACATGTCACACATAAGTAAAGAGGCTGACAAGAGTGAAGAAGTGTTATTCAATTTCTTTGACTGTGCAGTATCAATTCCTCCAAGCTCATGTCATGTTAGACCTTGTCTGGTCTCAATGGGCATGGACGGGCATTAACGTGGAAGCATTATGCACTTCGTGTCCTGACGATTTCATGTCTCGTTCTTGCTCACTTGTCTCACACCTGCATGCTTTACAATCTCCTGGTGTTAAAATTCCCCATTTCCTGATTGGACGATTAGGTTTGCTTTGAAGTCTGCCCATTCAGCGGCTGGACTTCGCATGGCTTTTTAATGCCAAGCCTGTAGACTAATGGTACTATCCTGTGTTGCCATGGCAACTTGTTTTGAATAATTGGGAACTGTCAGCGAAGAGAAGGGTTTTCCATGGTAATGCCTCTGCTATCACAAGGATGAGTGATATGTATTTCATATCTTCGTCAGGAAAAAAAAACCCACTTGGGTGTAGCATGTTTTTACAAAAGATGTATACCTTTCTGGCCAGATATTAAGTGTTGTTTTCCAACTTTTTGCTTTAGATATCTTCTGTTTTCCTCCTTTGTTTTCTAAGATAGGTATGGTTTGGTGATAGGATAAGTGCTCTGTGAACAGGAAGTCTATTATATAGTCTTTGTTTGCTTTTCTCGCCTGTTTGGAATCAAATGAAGATGCATTTTGTATTGATTTTTTAAACACCTAGACAAATAATTACATTATAACTTACGCAGAATACAAAAGAACTAAATATAATTTAAAGTAAAAAAAGGGAAATTTACTTCCTAAATGTCATCAGAATGTGCAATATTGGAAAAGGCATCAAATCTCCTTGAATGTAAAGGACATGAAATTTTTTGTTTGAAATCAGGGCATACTATATGTGTGCTTAATTGACTGATAGCAGTGTGACTGTACCCTCCATTCTCTCTCTCTCTCTCTCTCTCTCTCCCCCCCCCCCCCCCATCTTGAATAACCAGGATATTTGCCTCAGAAAATGTTAGCATGTTAATGCACACTGACGCAGGCATGCACGAACGCACACATGTTCAGTGTTTGGGGATTTTGCACAGGAATACCAGATGCACATTGACCATCTGTCGTGAAACCACTGAGGCATGGCAAGCTGCTTTTGTCTCACTCTGAGATTGAGATTATCACCTGGGTTATCATCGTGTATCCGTCATCTGTGACATTTCATTTAATGATACAAGACTAGTCAATTTTTCAGTGCATTTTTACAAGTAAATTGAAGATATGAACATGTCCCTTCACATTGTCACTGAAACCCCAAAATCTCTTGAGATGCCCAAGCCCAAAGAGCTGGTTGTCTGCTTCTAGCTACAGTGCAGTTTCCATGAATCCTGTTTCTATTTGCTTGTCATGTACATTTGACCATCTGAAGTTTTCA